TATATCTTCAATATCTCATCACATGTCAGTGTTCGAGTCTTCAGTCTTTGTGTAGTATATGTGTGTCTTTGTGCCAGAGAATATTTTTGTGCCATTACACAATACAGAAATGAGTCGCTGTGTTATTACTGTTCTTTCCCACTTTAATATTATTGAGTACGCTGCCTGGTCCACAGGTAGGTTGTCTGTTTCTCTGAGACATCGTTCATCTATCAGCTCGTCTCTCTGTCTCCTGGTACGTACGGAAGCAGGTGCTGTTGTCAGGCTGTAGCTGGTATCCATGGCGACAGGAGCACACAAACCCACCCAGGGTGTTGGAACAGAAATGGTGACACATGTACCCTTTGTCAAACTCTGTAGTGCACTCGTTTATATCTGAGAGAGAAGGAGAGAGTGAGATGAACAAACCCACTGACCGACCTCTAGACAATACATTTACATTAAACCAAGAAAGAGAGGTTGTTTGGTACAGTTTTAAAACAGACATTATGTCAAAGGATGGAATATTTGTTTCCTGAGCTGTGAACTTACAGTAAGTCCTTATGAGGAAAAGAGTAGCAATTGCCAAGAGCTTCATAGAGCACATCTGAGCTCAATGAGCTTTCCGAGTCAAGCACCTTCACATTCAGAAGATACAACCTTGTACTGCTCCACAATACATACAAGTTAGCCACACATTGCATAGAGTGAGCTACACAAAATAGGACCTATAATGTCGCCACATTATGCAAGATTCCCCATCTGAGGGACATTCAGCACTGGCATAGACCAATATGGTTATATTCTATCATCAATCAAGCAGTTGACTGGCTTCACTTGACCTGAGCCAAGATTCCTACAGTAAAGACAGTACAGATAATGAACAGCTGGTCTGCGGTATCGAACTAGGAGCACCCCCATCAGCCAGTTAATAATTGTTAATTGTTAATTAATAATTGTTACTGGTCTCGCAACACTCAAAAATGGAAGTTAACATGATTTAAAAGCATTTTTCATCCTTTCGTGCTACAAAAAGCTCTCACTTTCCTACTAACCCCCATCACATTGAGAGCTGAATCCAGTGCAAATTTGCTTCCACTCCACATTCAAAGTGACCTAGAAGACTGGAACACAAACACGAAGACTGACCCACAGCCTGGTAGATGGCTGAGAAGCCACTGTATCTGTGTGATCCTGGGGATGAGGAATCCGTCTTGAAGACGAGCCGCAGATTGTTGCCAGGTGACATGATGGAATACTTGCCAGGGCGATCACCCTTGGAAACATGATTCCGACCACAGAACCTTCCCAGAAATCTCTTTCCAAACATCACCTTGAAATAAAGAAGAACAATACTGTTTACTAAGACCTTAATATGTCCAAACCCAACAAAAGGGAACTGAGAAATAGTTTGGATAAACACTTGACAGAGAGATAATATACTGTATGTCCTATTAGAGATGTAAATATAAATAAAAAGAGATTTAAATTAAAGAATATCACATAGAACGAAATATAGACCTAAGACACTTGGTCAGGACGGGGGCTAGAAAGACCCTAATAAAGACCTTATCTATCTGTGTGTCTTACCATTATGGAGTCATAGTAGCAGTCCTCTGAGAGCTCAATATCAATGTTAGTGAATGTGAGGTTGAGGGTGTACCCCTGGGGTACCAACAGGTCCCATATTTCATGAAGGGAGGGAGGATAAGGAGCAGGGTAACCAGGAGACTGCACTTCCCCATGCAGTACTGGGATGGACCCTGAAATCACTGCTCCCCAACACTGGAACACACACAGCAACCTGAAATGAAAATGAGGAGTAATAACAAAGCAAAACGCACAGTTAATCCTGTAACAATACACAAAAATGGACTGGATTAATAGTGCACTTACATAACAAACACATAATCATAGGCAAGCACAAAGTTTTAAAGCCATTTTAATAGGGATATGAATGTGAAAATGTTTTAAAAATGTGTTTTAATATAAATTTTATTAAGGAAAATTATCACATCACTTTAGTAAATGCACCTTAGTAAGGGGACTCTGAAAGATCGCTTCTGCCAAACAAACAAGTGCAATGCACTCAGCAACTTAGAACAGCATGCGACCATTTTAAAAGAGATATTAAAATACTTTCAATCAGGGAAAAACAGTGAGTCACATTAGTAAGAGCTGAAAACGCATTGCAATGTGATTCTCTCTCACAGGCACACAGGTGCACTTCAGTATGCCTGTTTGGAAACAATTCTATCCCTTATCTGTTTCAATAAACAATTCAATACTTAAAAATTGGAAAAACACCATCTCACTCACCATGGAACGTGGATAAATAGACTCATATTCTGCTTCGTTTGTGTTGGATCAGTCCAAATCTTCCTTTTCTGTGTAGCAATTACTAGCCAGGTAGCACTGAAAAACAGACTACCAGACGCTACAGTAAGTTCAGAGTGCAGCGAGAGAGGGAAGGTGTTCAATTATCATTCGTAGGAAACACAGCTTGAAACAGAATCATGTGACTCAGTGACAGATTGAGAGAAATACACAGGGTTAAAGCAAGGAGGTCAATGTATCTTTCTGTGTCACTATTAAAAAATAGAAAGATAGAGGCATCAAGTGTTATGGCTGATGTTTTGAAGTTTTGATGCTTGTTGTCTAATCCATGTTTGTTTGCTAATGTGCAAATTCCATTCTCTAAGCTGTCAGGTCTGTTGACCCCTTTAACACTGCCTATCAGAGCACAAAACTGTTAACTTATCAAATTTTTGAAAGGCACGGTTTACAGGTTGATTTGAAAACAATATCTTGATAGCATCACAACCTGAGGGATCTTGTGACAAACAAAGTGTGTATGAATGTCTATATATTTTCCTCTGGGGTTTAGTTGTTGCTTTAACTACTGTATATTTGACTGTATTCATTGTTCCAGCTGTGAGCGAAAATGTTTTCAGATTGTTGGTTCTATCCATAAAGATCAGATTACTCAGATCTACCCAGGGTGTAGTGCTGACACTTGTTAACTATTCACAAGCACAGATATGCTGGTAAGCATCAGAGAGCCGAATGCAATGGATAAGTGCTGGGGATGAAACTCATGTTGAAGATTGCACTTTCAAGGTAGACTCCAATACAGCCTACACAACTCAATATAAGAAAAAAACACAACCAACTCTGTTAAACCCCTTATATTCCCAAATAATCCACTATTTAACTCTGTGTGAGAACATGGAATTAAGCATCAATAATCTCCTACTGCAAATAATTACCACTCGGTGTGTCTATTTACAAATAATGGAGACCTTTGCTGGCCTCTAGTGACAAGTTGTGGCTATTATTGCACCGGTCTGGCTGAATGTATCTCCTATCCACCTATACAGTCAGCCCAACACTCATCCAAAGAACTCTTAGATAAAGCAGGCCTATATCTCTTCTATATAATTTATTTGGATAGAAAGAGTGAAGCTACCCAATACAAACAACATGAGCATTTTATCCATATTACAATCTATACAAATTTCCCAATAAAACGCTAGGTAATTTTCTAGTCACTATTCTATGCAACAGTAACAAATTCTGAAAAATAATTTAACTTCATCTTAGAAAATGTCAAAATAATGTCTTAAATACACAGATATAGAGTGTTACACCATGAGTGTTTACAGATATTGCTATTTTAGAGCTACAGAACTCAAATATATACAGTAACGATCGCCCCACTTGTGCACTAACCTCACTTTAAAAAAACCTTCCTGCTACAATTTTATACTACTTCATGTAGTAAGACCTGACACAGGACGTTGTTTACAGAATTAGATATAACAAATCAAAAGAACTACCACTATATGGGAGCCATAAAAATATAAGTCCAAAACAATTGCATCCCCTTCAGAGATTGGCATTCCACAGCCCTTAGCATGCATGAACCCAATGAAGATAAACACACATGATGATAATGAGCTAAGAGACATCTAACATTTAATGGGCCAAATAACTCCTACCTGGACACTCAGTCAACTTTTATTAACATAACTGTTTTTTTCCAGTTGTGGAACTATGTATAAACGGCCTTTGAGAAAGGAGTTGTTGTTGTTACCAAAGTTTCCAAAGAATTGTGGAATTGAACGGACAGAGATCGTTCGGGTCTAGACGACAGAGAAAGAGCTACGGCACAAAATGCAGAAATTGTTGATCCTGTCATCAAGCAGGTTGTGAGAATAAGGATGCTTACTACTGGGGGCAAAAGTGTAGCCAAATTTGTGTGCTCAAAGTAGGGGAAGGTTTATTTTGCAATATGGTTAATGAACATTATTACTTAGAATTCACTTCTCGCTTAAATCCTGTTTATGGCTACTTAATATGATCAGATTACTTTTAGACTATTTCTGCAATACTATTTTCTATTACTAAAAAGCAAAGTATAGGGAACTTTAATAAAATGTAAATATTGCCTACATTTTACAAACTACACATTCGTTGTCATTCTTTATACATCAGTCTTTATTTGTTATATTGTCTTTGACAATGGATTGCCACAGAATAAATGCAGATTTCCACAGAACGCGGATTCTAACATAGAAAGACTGTAAGAAGTTAATTTTAATTTTCAGGACATTGAGTTAATTGTATTATACTGAACATAACAACAAGAAAATGTTAATAAACCCCTAGCTTACTCGATATTCTCTTATATTTGAGATCTAAAACACAAAGACAACACCATGACTGATGTCCATCACAAGACATTTTTGTCTTTGAGACAAGACAGATTATCGTTTGGATACTGCTGTACCAAATGGTTCATCTTCTCCCCAGGCTCGACCCAGTGAAATAGAGATAGTCCAGATTGGATACAGCTCTGCTCTAAGCGGTCTCTCTTTTTCCCCAGACTGAACCCCGTTTGATAGGGACAGTCCAGTCTGGATGCCACTGTGCAAAACTGTGTTTTTTTTCTTTCCTTTTTTCTTGTTTCTTTTCAGTTTTCACTAGCCTCACACCAATGCCTCCACCCCCCCAGACGGTGTTTGCCGTGGCTCCCCCAACTCCCACATTGTTAAACTACATATTTCTTTATCTTCTTGCATTTGGAATAATTTTACACCATTATTTTGTTTCTGAATAACCTAGGCCTTGATATTCTGTCATGTATTCTTGAATATGTCATGAATCTCTTGCCGATCTCATTTAGCATCTACGTCTACACAAGCAAAGCCAACTCTAAGGTAATAGTAGGTCCTTACTTTTAATAGCATAAGGTTTCTGTACTCTGGAACATAGATTTCACTTTCCACTTCGCTGGTGTATTGAAAAGTTCGATTTAACCTAAAAGCTAATCGAAATTAGGCTAATTCAGCCTAAAAAAAATGATTTTCCAACATGAACGTAACACCTTGTTGTACCATGTAAACCAACAAATCCGGTGCTCTTGCGTCTAATTTAGTCTACTCTTGTTCAGATATCTCTAGCTCTCCTCCCTCTCAATAGTCTCTCTGATCCAGTCCAGGTAATTGTCCACTTTAGTGTAGTAACCCCTCTCCTGACAGATTATTCCCCAGGACACAATGCCGTAGAGACGGAATGGACCCCTTTCTATCTCTCCTCCTGCTCCTCTCTGAAACTCTTGGAGGAAGAAGGGACCCCCACTGTCTCCACTGCAGCTATCTTTATCCTTCTCACCAGCACAGAACATGTTCTCAGTGAACATCTGCTCCAGTGGTTTTCCATCTTTGTTCTTAGAGCAGGTGTCTCTGTCCTTCACAGGGATCTCAACATACAACAGTTTCGAGCTCAGTGTGCCATGTTCTGTCCTGCCCCATCCTGAAACAAACCCCAGTCTTTCGGAAATCAGAGTCCCATCATCTTTCCTCTCGGGGAGACAGATGGGGAGCAGATGGGGTCCCAGGGGTACGCGGGATTTCAGTCTGACCAGGGCGATGTCGTTGTCATAATTGGTGCGTTTCCCAATTGTTGGGGCTTTTGGGTATCCTGGGTGGATGAAGATCTTCTCACTCTCCATAGTTACAGTGTTCTTGGAGCTCTCTATATTCTCAATGTCCGCTGTCCCCCCGTACATCAGCAGACTGTCCTTGCCCTCAACCACGTGAGCAGCTGTGAGGACCCATCGGTCAGAGATCAGAGATCCTCCTCCTCTTTTATCTTCAACATAGACCTGCCAGGGGATCTGACCCAGTTCTGCCTCTCTGCCTCCAAAGATACGGCCGAAATCAGAGTACTCATTCTCAGGCTCTCCACACACTGAGAGAAAACAGGTTGAATAAAGTAAAGAGAAATGTCCAATTATCAGAATTACAGGCCATTACCACAGTGTCTCTAACACAAAGGTAGGGATTTACAAAAGCATACTGACTGACCTATTCTCTAAACACCTTAGTATATCAACACAAACATACAACATTAACACAAACCCAGAGTATAATAACACAATCCTGTAACATTAACACATACCTGTAGCATATT